TTAGAGGGAACATTGCTCACAGGGTGTCTGTTGTGGGGAGGGGAAGGGAAAGGAGTTTGTGAGCCGCTCTGAGACTCCTTTGGGTAGTGAAGGGCCGGGTATAAATCCAATCTCCTCCTCCTTCTCCTTCTCCGTCACAAGTTCTTTCAGAGCTGTTCTCTCAAGGGCAGTTCTCGGGAGAGCTCTCTCAGCCCCACCTACCTCACAGGGTGTCTGTTGTGGGGAGGGGAAGGGAAAGGAGTCTGTAAGCTGCTCTGAGACTCCGAGTGAAGGGCGGGGTATAAATCCAATCTCCTCCTCCTCCTCCTCCTCCTCTTCTTCTTACCTTGAGGGAAGAGGAAGGCCTTGCCTCAAAAGAGGGGCTGGAGAGAACATCTCCTTCCCAGATGAGCAGGGTGTACTGAGTGTCCTTTCTACTCCTGCTGGGGAATCGGGAGGCCCAGCCAGGAAGGGTCCCTCCTTTGTGGTCTGAAATGGGTTATGTTATCCTGGAAATGGAGAGATGCAGGTTGAAGGGGAACGTTCTGGTCATTTTCACCCCCTCCCCATTTCTTGGGTTCCCAATACACAACACACAGAAAGGAATTCCTGGCGTTCCAGGCAAACTGCCTAGACAGGAAGGAAAAAAACAGGTTTTTCCCTTCGCTCTCCAAGAGGCCAAAATCCCCAGAAATAGGGAGGAAGAGGGCTAGGGTGGATTTCTCTTAGGAGTTGGGCAGAGAGACGGTGCCAGGTCTCCTCCTTGTGGGCTTCCCCCCTCCCTGAACAGTTCAGTGGACGAAGAGAAAAGAGCCATACTGGTATTTGCAGCACCAGGAACTTCAACTGAGCACAGCTTCCGAAGATTAACAAATTACCACGTTCTTCAGTCTGGCCTTGAGAGAGATAAGGATGGTAGCTGCAGGAACCCTGAGATCACAATGCCTGCAAGCCAGACTAGGTGGTGGTCTTCTTCTTCTTCTTCTTCTTCTTCTTCTTCTTCTTCTTCTTCTTCTTCTTCTTCTTCTTCTTCTTCTTCTTCTTCTTCTTCTTCTTCTTCTTCTTCTTCTTCTTCTTCTTCTTCTTCTTCTTCTTCTTCTTCTTCTTCTTCTTCTTCTTCTTCCTCTTCTTCTTCCTCTTCCTCTTCCTCTTCCTCTTCCTCTTCCTCTTCCTCTTCCTCTTCCTCTTCCTCTTCGGAGGAAGGCGTTGAGTATTGATCAGCTCATGCTTTATTAAACAAGTGAAACTAAAAGACAAACTAGCGGGGTCCGAGCCCCACTTAAATCCCTGCAGGAACCCACACCCAACACACACCCCAATACCAGTGATAGGCTATTCACAGTGGAGGAGTCAGTCATAGGTCTACTCTAGGATCCAGGCAATCCAATTGGTCCGCCCTAGGATCAGAATCGGCTGTTGTTCCAACACCGGAAGGTGCGCTTGACCGCATGGTCTCGCTAGCGCTGATGTGTTCTGTAATATACTCAGCTCAGACCGCGTGGCCAGCTTGGGCTCCACGCGGTCAAGTGCCAACGTCGAGCTTTGCTCGAAAAGACAATGGAGTATGTGGATCCTAGCCCGCACCAATCAGGGGGCTAGGTCCCCGGCCAAGAGCCTATGGAACTCTCAGCCACAGTAAATAACCTATTGGGAAGTAGGGGTGTGTTATGGGTGGCAGTTTCATGGGGAATATAAGCCAGCCTGCGAGTCGGCTAAAGTCGTCTTGTTCCTGATTGAATAAAGTACGCTTTGCTGAAATCACTCTCTGTCTGTGTACTTTTTATGTTCATATCAGTACACAACGATTACCAAGATGCAATTCGAAGTAATTATTATTAGTTAGTCTGTCACGGTTCTTATCTGTGATAGTGACTTCCGTGTTTCTCTCTTTGTTTGCTTCTGTAATATTTAATCGCAGTCTGAATAATAATAAAATAATAATAATACCTTTGGATTTATTGATCGCTCATCCTGCAGAGCTGCTGGCTCTGAGCGATTTACAGTTATGCAAGTTTTCACACGGGACTAACAATGAATCATAGGGTAAGGGAGGACAACATATAATTCTTTAAATCGCACACTTTTGCAGCCGACGGAGATTTTGTTCAGCTGTAAGCTTCAGGCGTGTTCCGGTCGGCATTCACCTCGGCTTGGCTAGATGACGTCAGTTCTTCCAGGACTACTTTGAGTCGTAGTGCCACACTGCCACCGCCTGGCTGGATTGGCCCATCACAGGCTTCTTAATGCCGAAGAGGTCTTTTTTCCCCAGGCTTCCGAGCTTACTGAATCCCGAATGAGCGGTTTGGTCGTGTGTCAAAACAGCTGCAGCAATACCTAATACCTGATAAAGCAAGAGCAAGAGGGGTCATCTTGGCAGCCTGGGGATTGGAAAGATGGAGGAGAATATTTATTTATTGGAATAAATAATGTATTTATTGGAATTTTATGGAACTGTATTTTATGTTGTTTTTTGCTGGTTTTAAAATGGTATGCTGGTTTTAAAATGCTATGTAAGCCGCCCTGAGCTGCTTCGGCAGGAGGGCGGGTTAGAAATCTAATAAATAAATAATGACATAAGCTGCTTTGGGAACAAAAGCAGCGGAGATGGGTGTAGGATGGGGAAAAAAATCATTTCCCCAACAAAACGAATGGGAGGCTGAAAACTTCCCTGAGCTGTCAGCTAGTATAGCATAGTGGTTAGAATGTCTGACTAGGATCTACGACAGAGATCCTGAGCTTTTTTTGAGCCTGCAGGTAGTTTAGAATTCTAATACAGTGTGGTGGGTGCAGCCACAAAATGGCTACCGCAAAATAGCTGCTACAGAGGCAGAGGCAGCCACAAAATAGCTGCTGCCATTTACCTTCAGTCACACAGTGAACATCCTTGTGCTGTGGTGGCAGCTGCTGCCAAAGCAACCTTTTAAAAAACAGTCCGCACAGCCAATCAAATCTCCAGCAGCCAATCAGAAGCCTTGCTGGGCAAAAAGGCTCACCCTGGCCCCATGCACTTTCTAGAAACAGTGGGTACTAGGAAAGCTGATGGTAAGCACTGTGGCACCCAGGGACACCATATTGAAGACCTCTGATCTATGAAACCTGGCTCGAATCCCACCTCTGCCATGGAAACTTCCTTGCTGATCTTGGGCAAGTCACAAACACCGTAACCAATGCTCCCTGTCAGCAAAAATTCTACGTTGTGAGCTACTGGCATTAAAGATGTGAGCAAGTGATTTGGCTACTGCATAAAAATTAGTTTGCTCTGGAGCCCCCCTTCCTGAGCTAAGGCAAAAATGGGTGAGCCGGGGGCTAAAAAACTGTGAGAGAGCACGCACTAACTGAGCTTAGAGGGAACACTGACCGTAACCTACCTCACAAAGTTATTGTTGTGAGGATAAAACAAAGGGCGGGAGAAAGATGTCAGCTACTCTGGGTCCCCATTGGGGGAAAAGGTGAGGAAGACATTTGCTATAAATCTAATTTTGTCTAATTTTGTGTCCAGATCACGGGAGGTGGTCGTTCCGCTCTATTCTGGTATGGTCAGGCCTCACCTGGAGTCCTGTGTCCAGTTTTGGGCTCCACATTTTAGGAAGGATGTTGACAAGCTCGAGCGTGTCCAGAAGAGGGCAACCAGGATGGTGAGAGGGTTTGGATCCAAGTCTTATGACCAAAGGCTGAAAGAGTTGGGTCTGTTTAGCCTGGGAAAGAGAAGGCTTAGAGGGGACATGATTGCAGTTTTCAAGTATTTGAAGGGCTGTCATGTAGAAGATGGAGCAGATCTATTCCCTCTTGCTCCGGATCACAAGACTAGATCTAATGGGTGGAAATTACAAGGGAGTTGTTACCGGCTAAATATCAGGAGAAACTTCCTATCTGTAAGAGTGGTTGAGCAGTGGAACAGTCTGCCCCGGGAGGTGGTGGATGCTCCTCCACTGGACGTTTTCAGGCGGAGACTGGATGACCATATTTCTGGTATGTTGTAGGGCTGTCTTTCGGCTACGCTCCTGCAGAGTGCAGGGGGTTGGACTAGATGACCTTCGAGGTCCCTTCCAACTCTAACGTTCTGTGATTCCATGATTCTACAGTTCACCCAAAAAGGAAGATCTGTCTTGCTACTTTGTCAGGTATTGCTGCAGGGCAGGAAGCAGAAATGCCGATTCAGTGTTCAAACTGCTGTTTAATATTGTTAAGTGGAACAAGCTAGGTAGATCGCAAGCAAAGTGAGCAGGGAAGGTCCCCTAGTAAAGTCAATAAATACAATTCCCAAACCAAATGTCTTGTTATTTAGTTATTTATTTATGTATTATTTGCATTTATATCCCATCCATCCCGTGGACGGGCTCAGGGTGGGTAACATCATTATAATAAATACAATTTCAGTTTAAAACACGATAAAACATTATAATTAAAACAAGGGGTACAGCTTGAGACAGCGTCAGTTGGGTACAAAGTTCTGGCCCGGTGGTGCGGTGAGTTAAAGGCCAGTTGTCTGTGGTCAGTAAATAGACGGGTGACAGCAACCTCAAGGAGACCATATATGGGCGCAAGCTGCCTCAACCAAAGGCTTGGCGGAAGAGCTCCGTCTCGCAGGCCCTGCGGAATTGAAGGAGATCCCGCAGGTCCCTGGTCTCAATAGGGAGCGTGTTCCACCAGGCTGGGGGCCAGGACGGAGAAGGCTCTGGCCCTGGTGGAGGAAAGACTGGCATCCTTAGTTATCATTAGTGGTATGCTGGATATAGGCCCCGGTCACACGGAGGATTTGCTGCAGGAGAGGCACAAATGTCGGGCAGAGTATGCGGGTACGATCACAAGGACACATCTGGCAAGCGTAGCACACCCATCGCCGACCCGTAGCATCCGCCCGAAGATCCGGAGTTAAAAAAATACCCGGGAAAGCCTACTAGCGAGCGGTTTGCTACGGGCCGTCAACAGAATACCCGCGTGTGATCGCTCAAGCGCGCTCCTCTCGTGTGACCGGGGCCGTAGACTTGCAAAGTTTGAAAAAAACAAAACTGTATGGGAAGTTATAGGGGCTCTCTCATTTTCATCATTAGATGCTCCTTGGTGTTGAGATCAGGCCTCAGTACGATAATGTAGCATTTAGGAAGGAAGATGCACCCCATTAGGCCAGCGCTGGAGGTCAATATGGAGAAGACCTGCACGGCGACCATGTATTTCCCCTTTGTGCTCAGGTAGGTGGGCACAAAGGACGCCCACACACTGCAGAACACAAGCATGCTGAAGGTGATCAGCTTGGCCTCGTTGAAGGCCCCAGGCAGCTTCCGGGCAAGGAAAGCCACCGTGAAGGAGATAGCAGCCAAGAAGCCCAAGTATCCCAGTACACCGTAAAACATGGCAACCGATCCTTCGTTGCATTGCAGTGTGATCTGTCCAGCCTGGGAGTGCATGTCAGATTCTGGGAAAGGAGGAGAGGTTCCCAGCCAGACGACACAGAGGCCAACTTGGATACCAGAAAAAGAAACGACGATGGAGTTGGCCAGACCCTTCCCCAGCCATTTCCTCATCCTGTTTCCCGGCTTGGTAGCCATGAAGGCCACCACCACGGTGATTGTTTTGGCCAAGACAGAAGAGACGGCGACTGAGAAGATGGTGCCGAACATGGTCTGTCGGAGAAGGCAGGTCAGTTTCCTTGGCTGGCCAATGAACAGGAAGGAGGAGAGAAAGGAAAGGAGGAGGGAGACGAGGAGAATGTAGGAGAGGTCTCGGTTGTTGGCTTTGACTACCGGCGTGTGTAGGAATTTGATAAACAGGGCTAAAACAAAACTTGAAATGAGGGACAAGAGCAGGGCACAGAAAGCGAGGGTGATCCCCAGGGGTTCTTCATAGGTTAGGAAGGTGATAATCTTGGGGACACACTGAGACCGGTCCTCGTTTGAATGCTGATCTTCTGGACACCTGGTGCAACGCTCTGCATCTGAAACGAACAAGAATGATCCAGTTAGGTAAAGGTAAAGGTAAAGGTTCCCTTGCTCGAAAGCCAGTCGAATTCGACTCTAGGGTTGCGGTGCTCATCTCCATTTCAAAGCCAAAGAGCCAGCGCTGTCCGAAGACGTTTCCGTGGTCATGTGGCTGGCAAGGCGCACAGAACGCTGTTACCTTCCCACCGAAGTGGTACCTATTTATCGACTTGCAATTTCTTGCTTTCGAACTGCTAGGTTGGCAGGAGCTGGAACTAGACGGGAGCTCACTCGGTCATGCGGCACCCTGGGTCTCGAACTGCTGAACTACCGACCTTCCACAGCCTGCAGTTCAGCGTCTTAATCACTTGAGCCACCGCAGCTCCTTGATCCAGATACTCTCCATAAAAACAATATTTCAGTGCGAGACTTCAAATAGCAAAAGACTCAATGAAGACAGAGATGGTGTTGGTGGCGGCTACAATCATGGACGGGCTTCAAGAGGGAATGGGATAAACACACGGAGCAGAGGTCCATCAGTGGCTATTAGCTACAGTATAGATGGGATCTCTTGCTCTGGGGCAAGTGATGCTCTGTATTCTTGGTGCTTGGAGGAGGCAACAGTGGGAGGGCTTCTAGTGTCCTGGCCCCACTGATGAATCTCCTAATGGCATCTGGTATTTGGATGGGCCATTGACTTGATCAATAAATTGGCTTCTCTTATGTTCTTATGAGGGCAAGAACCGGGATCAGGAAAGGCACAAGTTTACTGGTGATGCCCCAGATTACGTTCTAGTTAGTACCGCATAAAGCAGATCTTAGTTAGCAAGGCTCTGACAATGAGACATGAGTTCTATTCTGGAATTTGGACAAATGAAGCTGCTTTATTACTGAATCAGACCCTCGGTCTAGCAAGGTCGGTATTATCTACTCAGACTGGTAGTCGCTCTTCAGATCTCAGGTGGAGGTCCTTCACTTCACCAATGGCCTGATCCTTTAAACTGGAGATGCTGGGGACTGAACGTGGTACCTTCTGCATTGCCCAAGCAGGTATTCTACCTCTGAGCCACAGCCTCTACTCATTCTATGAGATCCTTGGATGCCCCAGTCAAAACCTGAACGTCATTTAAACAAACAGCGGGGAACACAAGGGACAGAGAGCTGGCATTGGTGAACGTGGCTTGGCCAACATCAGACCAGCCACAGGTTTTGTGGATGAGAGGTACTGATGTTCCTCTCTGCAGAGCACAATCCCAGCTGCTGCGCCACATGAGATGTGGTGGAGGAGGAAAGTAATGTCAGGTCTCAGCTGGTTTATGGAGGTCCCTCGTGTGGTTTTCAAGGCCAGAGAATAACAGAGGTGGTTTGCTACTGACGGTTTCTGCGTCATGACCCTGGTGTACCTTGATGGTCTCCAATGCAAAGACTAAATACCGCTGACCCTAATTAGCTTCCGAGATCTGACGAGATCGGGCTGGTCTGACCATCCGGTTCAGGGCATGTGAGACATATATGTTTGAATACGGCTCCAATGCCCAGTGCTGTGTGGACTGGCATGTGCAACCCCCCCTCCCCAAACCTGGGTGAAGAACGTTCCCCTTTCCTGCATCTCACCCCCCCCCACACACACACCAACCTCATATATTAGGGGTCTGAGAGCCAGTTTGATGTAGTGGTTAAGTGCGCGGACTCTAATCTGGGAGAACTGGGTTTGATTCCCCCACTCCTCCACTTGCACCTGGCTGGATGACCTTGGGCAAGCCGTAGTTCTGATAAGAGCTGTCCTTGAAAAAAGAGCAGTTTCTGTCAGAGCTCTCTCAGCCCCACCTGCCTCACCGGGTGTCTGTTGTGGGGAGGGGAAGGGGAAGGAGTTTGTAAGCCGCTCTGAGACTCCTTTGGGTAGTGAAGGGCGGGGTATAAATCCAATCTCTTCTTCTTTTTCATATAAACGTATTTTTAAAAAGCCACAGAAAATGCCTGGATGAATCTCCCCCCCCCCCCACTATCCAGCATTGCTTTCTTCTAGAATAATCGCCTTTTTAAAAAAATAAAGTTTTATTCAGGGGTCATTTCATAGAAAAAGAGGTGCAGGAGCTCATTAGCATAACATTTGCATATGCCACACACCCTGACATCACCGGAAGTGTGTCAGAAGGCAACACCCACTGCTCAGGCTCCACTGGATTGTTTTGGATTGCTAGCTATTGGAGGGGGAAACATGCAGATCTGCCCTCACAGAGGAGGGAGAGCTTGTACCTGAATAAAACTTGGTCTTAAAGGTGCCACTGGACTGTTTTGGACCAGGGGGCCAGGGGGGGGGCTTACCTGGCTGTTTCTTGCTCTGACTGAGGGCTGCTGGGAGCAGGGGGTGTGGCTTGTTGCATGTGCCCGCCCCCCAGGCTCTTTACTGCTGGAGCTCTGCTCCTGGGCGCTCCTGAAGGAAATGACCCCTGGTTTTATTAGTTTATATATAGAAAGGGGGGAAGGGATAGAATATTCACCTTCTTGAATAGAGATGGCCCCTTTCTGGCATGGGGAACACGTATAGCAGCAGCGTGGCTGTTCTTTCTGAATTACCTTGGTGTAACCAGGGTGGCAACGTCCGGTACACCTGGAAGTAGGCAGGGTCTAAGCAGAAAAAGACAAGGTGCATCAAGGAAAAGGTGTACCACAGTAAGGTAAAGGTTTCCCTTGCTCGAAAGCCAGTCACGTCCGACTCTAGGGTTGCGGTGCTCATCTCCGTTTCAAAGCCGAAGAGCCAGCGCTGTCCGAAGACGTTTCCGTGGTCCTGTGGCCGGCATGACTAAACACCAAGGCGCATGGAACGCTGTTGTCTTCCCACCGAAGCGGTACCTATTTATCTACTTGCAATGTCTTGCTTTTGAACTGCTAGGTTGGCAGGAGCTGGAACTAGAGACGGGAGCTCACTCCATCATGCGGCACACCCGGGTCTCAAACTGCTGAACTACTGACCTTCCACAGCCTGCAGTTCAGCGTCTTATCTTAACCACTTGAGCCACCGCAGCTCCACAGTACCACAGTAGAAGTTACTTATAATATTGGAAAAGACACAAAAGAACCTCTCTCCCAGTTTTTGGACTAATTAACCCCAGAAGCTTTTTTTTGAAGGCCATAATTCTAATGCACAGCGTGCTCACCACAGTGTATCCTGTCCTTCCTCCCAGTAGCTGGAATTTAGTAAGAATGAAGCCGCAGGAGAGGAGCACATTAGTTGTATGAAAGAGAGGAGGGGGTTAGATCAGGGGGCATGTGGAAAAATCACAAAAGAGTCGTCGCCAATGTTGAGTGAAACAGGTCGAAGGAGATACAGTGAGAGCTGTAAGAAGAAGACCCTTTTATGCCAATAAAGGTATTTGGATTTGGAAGAACACTCTCCACATTCAGAGGCAGCAAACCACTGAATATCAGTGGCTAGAAGTTAGCATCAGGGGAAGTCTTTGATCTGTGTGACCTGTTGGTTGACCCTCCAGGGCAAGTGGCTGACTACTGTGTGACACAGGATGCTGGACTAGATAGACCACTGGTCTGATTCGGTGGGGCACTTCTTATGACATTAACTGGGGTAGCGAAAGGGAGAGACTGGAGTGGAAAGCTTCAGTTTTAATCACAGAAGAAGGAAGACAAGAAAGAACTGATTGGAGGATGAATCCTTTGCTCAGAAACTATCTTGCTCAGCAATATGTTTCTCCTTTTGATAGCGAATGGCTTAAACTGCAAATTAAACGTTTCCTTCCATAAAAATGGAGTTTTTAGAGTAGCTACTCTGTTCACATAAAATCTGAGACTAGGTCATGTTAACTACTAAAGCAATAAGAGTGTCCAGGAAAAGGCTATTCTTTATTTGAATGGGAAGCATATGGTTTAGTTTCCAGAAGGACAAACAAGCCTATCTATATATAAGTATCTGGTGGTGGCAAAAGATACAAGCATCCTTTTTCGGCCAGAAATGATGGAATGAGAATGAGTTCCTGCCTCGTTATCATCTAGCAACTTAGGACTTTGGTTAGTTGGGTAAATTTCCTATCCCTAGTAGACTGAAGATGTCTGCAGTGGCTGTTTTATTATATCACCCACCTGGTTCAATTGCCTGGGCCACACTATGGATTGTTGGTCGATGGACAGTTTTAGTTCTTGGGACGAATCTCTTTCTAGGCTACCAACACGTATTTTGGTAATGGACTTGTTGGGGAACACCACCCAGTTCACAATATCAAAGTTGGTTGCCAGGTCTCCATTCTGATCCAAATAAACTCCATCGGTTGAAATATTGTAGAACCTGAAACTTCTCAGGAAAGGGTGGAGCTAGAATGGGAGAGGGAAACACCAGCTTTTAGGAAACAGGAATCTATATTAGCCATGTAAATGGACCTTGTCTGGATTGATCCCCCCCCGCCCCAGCAGTGTTCCCTCTAAGCTGAGTTAGTGTGAGCTAGCTCACGGTTTTTTAGCCTCTGGCTCACACAGTTTTGTCATAGCTCAGGAAGGTTGGGCTCCAGAGCAAACTAATTGATGCAGCAGCCAAATCACTTGCTCACAACTTTAATGCTGGTAGCTCACAAAGTAGAACTTTTGCTCACAAGACTCCACAGCTTAGAGGGAACGTTGCCCCCCAGTGATTCAGGGTTCATCCACACACCTTCCGGGCTCATTGAGGTCCATTGCTGAGGCTCACCTTCCCCTTCTCTGTTAAGAGTTAGGGAGCTAGGCCATTGGACTGAGGAGGAGGAAGTGGCCAGAATGGAACCCGCTCTCTCTTGTATCTCTCTTGGATTGGATACACATATGGAGGAGAGGTCCATCAGTGGCTACTAATCACAAGGTACAGATGGAAAACCATATCTGGGGCAGTGAAGTGATGCTCTGAATTCTTGGTGCTTGGGGAGGGGGCAACACTGGGAGGGCTTCTGGAGTTCTGGCCCTGCTGGTGGACCTCCTGATGGCACCTGGTATTTTTGGCCACTGTGTGACACAGAGTGTTGGATTGGATGGGCCCTTGGGTTGATCCAACATGGCTTCTCTTATGTTCTTATGTCTGGGGCAGTGATGCTCTGTACTCTTGGTACAGCCTGACATCCACTGGCATTCCCACATAAACTCCATGAACCAAGGACAGACTTGGATCAGGAAGGCAGGACACCATAATGAAACCAGATTGCTCTTTTCTTCATCAGCAGCCCACGTGAAGAGGTAAGGAGGGACCAGTGAGAATTCACACATGAACACACATATGAAGCTTCCTCATACTGAATCAGACCCTTGGCCCATCTGTTAGCAGCCAGACCCCCCCTGCAGAAGGGCAGTTTGTAGAAGATCCCTCTCTTTCTAGATCCCCCACCCCAATCATATGTGTGTACCACACAGCTTGGCCAGAAATGGAACCAAGATGGAGCTGGGACACACAAAATGGCTGCTGGTCAGAGACAAGCCTGGGAAGACTATTTTGGGTAGGTGACTCAGGGCATCTGTTTTGCTAATAAGCTCTCTACCCACCTGAAAAAGAGAGACCATCTCAACAATGGGCTTATCAGAGAGGCAATACCACCACCCTGACATGATCTCATCACACCTGGTCATGCTTTTCCCTGCCTATTCACCTTAATTACCTGAGCCTGCTTAGGCGGGGTACAAATTTGAAGAAATTAATTAATTAATTAGCAGGCTATCCAAATAACCTGATAGCCTCTCCCATCCTGTGCTCAAAGGGTCATCAGAGAGAACATTACATTTAGCAAACTAATCAGAGCAATACTTCAGAGAAATAAATAATACATTTACACTGGACAATCTCACCAGGCAGCCACTAGCCACACTCATGCAAACTATCACTAATTCCCCCAGATCTTTGTTTACTCCTGGGAAAGCCATCAATCTTCTCACAGATCTTTTGTTTCAACACTTCGTACTTCTCACACGGCTCATCAAGCTATTGTTTTTGTACACAGATACGTCCGCATTGCCCCAGGAGGACACACTTTTCCTATAAAAATGGCACACTCTGTCCAGTCCAGTTGTGTGTGTGTTGTCCTGGATCCAGACCTTTGCTCTTCTACGGACTTCACTCTTCTAGATAGGTAACTATCACCAGCCCTAATCTTTATCCCCGTTACTCTTTGAGAGCTTTGTATGTGTATTTACTTGTGTATGTTTTGCTCTTCCGCCCTCTTTAAATAAAATCCCTTCTATTTTAACTTGGTCTCATTTATTTTGAGAGTTCTCTAAGGGAAAAATGCCTATAAATGCTGGTGGATATCCTGTTTGTTACCCCCTCTCACTAGGCTCTGTCTCCTTTGCTAATTCCCCCAATTAAAAGGAGACCCCCTATTTGGGTAAGAAATCATGGTCAGTATTGTCTCCTCTAGGAGCTGCGGTGGCTCAAGTGGTTAAGACGCTGAACTGCAGGCTGTGGTAGGTCGGTAGTTCAGCAGTTTGAGACCCGGGTGTGCCGCATGACGGAATGAGCTCCCGTCTCTAGTTCCAGCTCCTGCCAACCTAGCAGTTCGAAAGCAAGAAATTGCAAGTAGATAAATAGGGACCACTTCGGTGGGAAGGGAACAGCGTTCCATGCGCCTTGGTGTTTAGTCATGCCGGCCACATGACCAGGGAAACATCTTCGGACAGCGCTGGCTCTTCGGCTTTGAAACGCAGATGAGCACCGCAACCCTAGAGTCGGACGTGACTGGCTTTCGAGCAAGGGAACCTTTACCTTTATTGTCTCCTCAGACTGGCAGTGGCTCTCCAAGGTCTCAGGTGGAGGTCTTTCACATCACATACTACCTGCTCGTCTCACCTGCAGGTGCCAGGGACTGAACCTAGGACCTTCTGCCCACAAACCACAGGCTCTTTCACTGAGCAATGGCCCCTTCCCTGCATGTGTTAAGTTCCATTTAATTGGACCCTTGCTGCAGATCTGAAGCCTCAGGAAAAGGTCCTGGAAGATTCAGTGAAGTCAAAGCCAAAAATAAATTCACCTTGTCTCAGGAGGATCAAAGTGTCAGAAATCAGCAGGGCTCTTTTTGTAGAAAAAGCCCAGCAGGAACTCATTAGCATAATAGGCCACACCCAACACCAGAAACCAATTAGCATATTAGGCCACACCCCTGCCAGCACAGCTCATTAGCACATTAAGATGCACCCCCGTGTTACCAGAAGTGTGGTCATTCAGCCACACCCACCTTTTGCTTGTTATTCTGTTTACCTTGTTTGTGGTCAAAACCCAGGGCCTTTTTTTGGAGCAGGAACTCCTTTGCATGTTAGGCCACACACCCCTAACGTAGCCAATTCTAATGAGTTTCTGCTGTTGGGTGTGGCCTATTATGCTAATGAGTTCCTGCTGGGCGTGGCCACCCGGGGAGCCAGCCGGAACTCCGTTCCTGTGCGTTCCTGCCCAAAAATAGCCCTGCAGGAATGTGTCTCCTGAAAGCACCATATGGAGGTCCCTGACCTGGATAGCCCAGGCTAGCCCGATCTCATCAGATCTCAGAAGTTAAGCAGGGCCAGCCCCGGCTAGTATTTGGAAGGGCAACCTCCAAGGAATACCAGGGGTGCGATGCAGAGGCAGGCAATGGCAAACTGCCTCTGAAATGTCTCTCGCCTCAAAAACAAGTCTAGCTTGCCACCTAGTGGTGCATAACAATAAAGAGCTGGAACTTCTGGTTGCCAAGCAATCTTAGGATCTCCTGGCTATAGTACACACAAGACCATACGATAATTATTATTAATTACAACGGAGGGAAGCAAAAGCAGAGGCCTTCATCTGGAGTCTCGCAAACTGAACCTTCTCAGACTTTAGATCTGAAATGGAACAGACTGTGATTTTCAGTGGTGCTACATATGAGGTGCTGGAGAAGACTCTTGAGAGTCCCTTGGACTGCAAGAAGATCAAATCAGTCAATCCTAAAAGAAATCAACCCTGACTGTTCCCTGGAAGGCCAGATAATGAAACTGAAGCTCAAATACTCTGGCCACCCAATGAGAAGGGAGCACTCACTGGAGAAGACCCTGATGCTGGGAAAGACTGAAGGTCAAAGAAGACGGGGACGGCAAAGGATGAGATGGCTAGACAGTGTCATAGATGCAACGAACATGAAACTGAGCAAACTTCAGAGGACAGCGGAAGACAGGAGGGCCTGGCAGGATCTAGTCCATGGGGTTGCGAAGAGTCGGACTCGACTGTGCGACTGAACAACAACAACATATGAGAAAAAGGAGTACCTGCCACGACTGTAACCTCTGGAGCATCAACTTTTTTCTGCCCACCATCACCATCTGCCGAGATCGGGAGATGTAGGCTGCATGTAAGGCATTCCCCATAGCTTGGAGGGTGTTGTATATACCATAGCTGTCTTGAGACAGAGTTCTTTCAAGGAGCTCCTGGGGCGGATTCTGCAGTTTCTCTTCCTCTCTACATTTTGCCCAGCGGCTTAATGAATATTCAGAAGATGGACAGTGGAATGCTTTAAACCCAAACGCCTCAATAGCACTGTCCATATCATATGTCGGGAAACCAACATTGTTTGGCCTTCTCTTTGTCTGGATTAAGAAGGACAAAGATCCATGGATCTGCTGGATGTCAAAAGCGCTGTCCGTCAAGCCAAATGTGATGTCTGACAAAGCCACCGTGATCCAAACTCTCCACATTTTGGATTTAATACGCCTGTAGATTTGTTTGAGCACAAATGTTAGACCTGCCAAGTAGTGAAGGCCCCCATAGTAAACATATACATAGATGTTTTTCTGTATAGAAAGGGAAGTCACGCGGCTCAGATATTTATGTATTTTTCCAATGTAACCAAGATTCAGTCCTATTATTCTTTGTGAGAACACGACACAAATATCGCTCCTGGTGAGAACAGGTGTCACTGTGCTTATGAACCTTTCTCCGCTGTCGGTGTCCGGAGCAAAGAGACCGATCCATGTCCATCGAAAATGCAAGAGCAGTTTGGCAATTCCCAGGTACTGGGGCTCTGCTTTCGGGATCATCCGGTAGAAGAAAGGAAACTGAGTTTTATCAGTAAGAACATGTGAACGAACACCGTAGTTGACCTAGTCAAGAGAGGAAGAGAGAATTCTCTTGATATGGTTTCAAGATAAAGCTCCGATTCAGGCCTGTGAAGGATTGCTGGTAGGCAAGAAAAACAACTGGGTTGTTCCTCGTCCATGATCCAAATCTCCCCTTACAAGATACTATAAACTACTGAGGATTTCAGCCAGCTGATTTACCTTCTCTCCTCTGTTTTCTCTTTCCACTGTTTTAACTGAACAAAGTTTGAGTCCAGTGGCACCTTGAAGACCAACAAAGTTTTATTCACTGTATAAGCTTTTGTGTGCCTACGCACAAAAGCTCGTACCATGAATAAAAACTTCGTTGGTCTTAAAGGTGCCACTGGACTCAAACTTTGTTCTGCTACTTCAGACTAACACAGTGTAGTGGTTAAGTGTGCGGACTCTAATCTGGGAGAACTGGGTTTGATTCCCCACTCCTCCACTTGCACCTACTGATGTGACCTTGGGTCAGTCACAAGCTCTGGCACAGCTGTCCTTGAAAAAGAGCAGTTCCTGTCAAGAGCTCTCTCAGCCCCACCCACCTCACAGGGTGTCTGTTGTGGGGAGGGGAAGGGAAAGGAGTTTGTAAGCCGCTCTGAGACACCTTGGGTAGTGAAGGGCGGGGTATAAATCCAATCTCTCTCTTCCTCTTCTTCTTCTACCCCACCTGAATCCACCTTTGTAATTGTCATTGGCTTTCAACATTGCAAAAACGATAGGTGCAGTGATCATTAATCGTCTATCTAGCTATCATCCATCCATCCATCCTTCTATCATCTTCCAGACCTTTTGGAGGATGGGAGACATGACACAAGACTGAAGGAGGAAAGATGTTATCCCAATTTTTTTTTAAAAAAGGGAGAAGGGATGACCCATCAAACTACAGGCCAGGCACACTGACCTCTGTCCCAGGGAAGAGACTGGAACAGATTTTAAAGGGATCTATCCGAGAGCATCTAAAGGACAACTTGGTGATCCAGGGAAGTCAGCACGGGTTTGTCTCCAACAGGTCCTGCCAGACCAACCTCATCTCCTTCTTCGATCAAGTGACGAGCTTACTGGATCGAGGGAATGCTGTTGATATTGTTTACATGGATTTCAGTAAAGCTTTTGACAAGGTACCCCACGATGTTCTGATGGGTAAAATGGAGGACTGTGAACTGGACTCTAGGATAGTTAGGTTGGTATGGAACTGGTTGGAGAACCACACTCAAAGGGTAGTTGTTAATGGCATTTCATTTGAATGGAGGCAGGGCCGGCTCACTCACTAGGCGAACTAGGCAATCGCCTAGAGTGGGACGGCCCTTAGGGGCACCAAACTGCACCCAGCCCCGTACTCTGGGAGTTTCTTGATTATTTGTGTTTTTCATTCTTCCTAAAATGCATTTATTTTTGGAAATTGGTGGGCGCATGGGGGGGGAGAAGGGATCCTCGCCTAGGGTGCAAAATAAGCTGGAGCCAGCCCTGAATGGAGGGAGGTGTCCAGTGGGGTGCCACAGGGCTCGGTTCTGGGCCCGGTACTTTTAAATATTTTTTATAAATTAACTGGATGAGGGTGTGCAAACAGGCAGATGACACCAAATTGGGAGGAGCAGCAAAAACACCAGAAGATAAAGATAGAATCCAGCGATATCTGAACACACTGGAAAAGTGGGAGGATGTGAACAAGACACAATTTTACAAGGATAAGTGCTGAGTTTTACATCTGGGTAACAAAAACGAGGAACACGCATACTAGATGGGGGATACACTTCTGAGTAGCAATGTGTGTGGACAAGATCTTGGGGTATGGGTGGACCGTAAGTTATCTATGAGCAGCCAGCATGATGCAGCAACAAAAAAAGGCTAATGGGATCTTGGGGTGTATCAACAGAGGCATAACATCCAAATCGCAAGATGTCATAGTCGTGTGTGCCATTCTGGAGGCTTCATTTCAAAAAAGGATGTGGACAGAATGGAGCGGGTGCAGAGGAGAGTGATGAGGATGATTGGGGGCAGTGTTCCCTCTAAGCTGAGTTAGTGTGAGCTAGCTCACAGGTTTTTACCTTTGAGCTCTCACATTTTTTTTTCTTAGCTCAGGAACAATGGCGCCAGAGCAAACTAATTTATGGCATAGCCAAATCACTCACTCACAACTTCCATGCCTGTAGCTCACTAAGCAGAATTTTTGCTCACAAGACTCCACAACTTAGAGGGAACATTGATTGGGGGCCTGGAGACCAAGCCCTGTGAGGAAAGGCTGAGGGACCCAGGAATGTTCAGTCTGGAGAAGAGGAGGTTGAGGGGGGACATGATTGTGCTCTATAAGTATTTGAAGGGCTGTCCCTTAGAGGAGGGCAGGGAGCTCTTCCTGTTGGCAGAAGAGGATAGGACTCGAAATAATGGTTTTAAATTAAGGGTGGGAAGGTACTAGCTGGATAACTTGTTTACAGTAAGAGTTGTGCAACAGTGGGATCAGCCGCCTAGGGAGGTGGTGAGCTCCCCCTCACTGGCAGTCTTTAAGCAGTGAATGGACAGACACTTGTCAGGGAGGCTCTAGGCTGATCCTGCACTGAGCAGGGGGTTGGACTAGATGGCCTGCCTGGCCCCTTCCAGCTCTGTGATTCTCTGATTCTATGATCCATCATCCAGCCATCTGTCTGTCTGTCTGTCTACATACATACATACACACATAAACATACTTCTTTTATATCCCGGTTTTCTCACTAAGACTCAAGGAAGATCACATCATATAATAATATAATGCTATCTGATTGCATTGTTTTATTTATTTATTTATTTATTTAATTGCATTTATACCCCGCCCTGAGCCTGTTCGCAGGGAGGGTGGGGTATAAATGCAATAAATAAATAAATAAATAAAATAATGCAATCAGATAGCATAAAGCATCTGATAAACAATGTAACAGGACTAGGATTACAAAATTAGGAAACAGTGCAGAAGGAAAAGTTATCAGACAAGATATGTCATCATCAATCCAGAAAATGGCATTAGAAAGTAGAAGACGGTTCAGCAATCAGCAAGAGTGGGACGAAACATACAATAAACCTCGAAGAGGACTCCAGTCTTGTTCCTGAACCATTCCATTATACTCCAGCCCTGTTCTTTTTCTAAACATGTCATCCTGAACAATTCTATTTTATACAGTAGCAGTATTTTGATTGTATATCACCACCAATGCTCCCTCTAAGCTGTGGAGTCTTGTGAGCAGAAATTCTACTTTGTGAGTTACTGGCATTAAAGTTGTGAGAGAGTGATTTGGCTGCTGCATAAACTAGTTTGCTCTGGTGCTGTCCTTTTTGAGCTAATACAAAAATGTGTGTGAGCCGGAGGCTAAAAAACTGTGAGCTAGCTCACACTAAGCTTAGAGGGATCGCCACCTTTTTTGCTGATCATGCATGCCTTCTGAAGTCTGTGAGATCATGCATGGTTCAATCTTCTGTGAATTCTGGCTGCATAACACTTTAGTCTCTGACAGTTAATTGAAACAGTTACCGAAAAAGGGATTAATTGCCTTTTAATTATCTTGCTTTAGAAGAGATAATGTGTATGTGTATTTGATTACTGTGTATGCACCTGTTGATTATATCCTACTAAGTTAAGAGCCAACCACTTATCTAGATAGTAATCCCATGATTAAGAGAGAAGAGATTTAGAGTAAGAGAAGACTGATATATTCCTATTAAAATGTGCTACAAGGATGGGCAAATCAGATTTCTCTGGATGGAAGTCTAAGAAAAATATTATATAATCTCTCTCTCTCTCTCTCTCTCTCTCTCTCTCTCTCTCTCTCTCTCTCTCTGTGCGTGTGTGTGTGTGACTTGGCCATATATGAAAATATCTAATAGTAGTGACAGAATGACCTGAAACCTACCGTAGTTTGCTTTTAAAATATTACTTACTATACTATGATTAAGAAATTAAGAAACTCTGATAATTTTAGAGCTTGCTTTAACAGTAATTATAGGGTTAATTTTCATGCGCTTGCATTTTCTAATATCTTGATTAAGAAAGAGAACTGTTTCTTTTTTCTTCTTCTTTCAATAAGAGGTCTCTGAAGGTTATTGGCCCGGTTTTAATTCAAAAGAGAACTCACAACTAACTCATTTGTGTGATCAGATCATCTCTGCTTTGGATGCAGGAAGAAGAAGAAGAAGAAGAAGAAGAAGAAGAAGAAGAAGAAGAAGAAGAAGAAGAAGAAGAAGAAGAAGAAGAAGAAGAAGAAGAAGAAGAAGAAGAAGAAGAATTTACACCCCGCCCTTCACTCAGAGTTTCAGAGCGGCTTACAATCTCCTTTCCCTTCCCCTTCCCCTCCCCACAACAGACACCCTGTGAGGTAGGTGGAGCTGAGAGAGCTCTTTGAGAACTGCTCTTGAGAGGACAGCTCTGAGAGAACTTGCGACTGGCCCAAGGTCACCCAGCTGGCTTCATGTGGAGGAACGGGGAATCAAACCCATTTCTCCCAGATTAGAGTCCGCACTCTTAACCACTACACCAAACTGACTCTACACTACACCAAACCGGTCCCAGGTTAAGTCCCTAGCATCTCCAGCAAAAAGAATCAGGCTGTGGGTGATGTGCAAGACCTCTGCCGGGGGCCCTGGAGAGCCAAGGCCTGTCTGAGTAGACAATACTGACCCTGATGGATCAACGGTCTGATTCAGTATAAGGCAGCCTCATGTATTCATGTATACCTGTGGGATTTTGTAAATGCCCAACATGGCTGAAATTGCGATGGAGTTTTCAGAGTCTGTTCCCTCCAGAACCGCCAGCGGGTCCCTTCGTCTTCCACAGTTGTAGTCTGGAACATTCGTCTGTCCAGGAGGCAGCATGTCCAGGAGGGCATCAAAGGTTATTCTTGAGTCAAAATAGTTCTCATAGATGCTGTAGCCCAGGGTGATGTTAGGCAAAACTCTCGGATTCTGGTTAATCTCCTGAATGGCGAATTTGAAGGACAGGATATCCCAGTATGTTGCAAGTGGGATCCTGAGAATAAACATATATACCACATCGTCATCTTCTACGCATTGAAAACAAAATGTCAAATGTGTACTTTTTAAAATTCAATTTGATGAAGAACATAAGAACACAAGAGAAGCCAGTGTTGGATCAGGCCAATGGCCCATCCAGTCCAACACTCCGTCACACAGTGGCCAAAAATACCAGGTGCCATCAGGAGGTCCAGCAGTGGGGGCCAGGACACAAGAAGCCCTCCCACTGCTGTCCCCCCCAGGCACCAAGAATGCAGTGCATCACCTGCCCCAGCCTGTGAGTTCCTATCCATACCTTGTGGCTAATAGCCACCGATGGACCTCTGCTCCAGATGTTTACCCAGTTCCCTCTTGAAGCCGTCCATGCTTGTAGCCGCCACCACTTCCTGTGGCAGTGAATTCCATGTATAAATCACTCTTTGGGTGAAGAAGTACTTCCTTTTATCCGTTCTAACCCGACCGCTCAGCAATTTCATGGGGTGCCCATGAGTTCTTGTGTTGTGAGAAAGGGAGGAAAGTACCTCTTTCTCTACCTGCTCTTTCCCACGCATAATCTTATAAACCTCGATCATGTCACCCCTCAGCCGTCATTTATGTCTAGAGGAGCTCAGATCCAGTGCCCAAATCACAGTAGCAAATCCCTATGTAACGGAGAATGAGGGTTTGGGAGTTATAGCGGATTGTCTAGTCGAAAAGCTAGCTAACACATACTAAGAAAAGAGCGAGAGTCCAGTAGCACCTTAAAGACTAACCAAATTGTTGGCAAGGGATGAGCTTTCGTGAGTCACTGCTCACGTCTTCAGATACAGCCTGAGCGAATGTCCGTCTGTCCTTATATCACAAAGTTGGTGGACTTCCATTCTGCATGGCTAAATGTGGTGCCTTCCATGGAGATAGATCAAGATGGGTATCTGTGTTAGTCTGTCCGTAGCAGTAGAAAAGAACAAGACACCTTAAAGACAAACAAAATTTGTGGCGGGGGATGAGGTTTCCTGAGTCACTGCTCGCTTTTTCAGAAGAGTCTGAAGTATCTGAAGAAGTGAGCAGTTAACTCACAAAAGCTCATGCTCTGCCAAAATGTTTTGTTAGTCATTAAGGTGCTACTGGACTGTTGCTGTTTTCTACTGCTACGGACAGACTAACACGGCTACCCATCTTGATACTAAGAAAATCATGGGTCTAAGAAGAAGCGATTGGATTTATACCCCGCCCTTCACTCCCCAAAGGTGTCTCAGAGCTGCTTACGAACTCCTTTCCCTTCCCCTCCCCACAACAGACACCCTGTGAGGTAGAAAAAGAAGAGATTAGATTTATACCCTGCCCTTCACTACCCAAAGGAGTCTCAGAGCGGCTTACAAACTCCTTTCCCTTCCCCTCCCCACAACAGACACCCTGTGCGGGAGGTGGGGCCGAGAGAGCTCTTGACAGAAACTGCTCTTTTTCAAGGACGGCTCTTATCAGAACTAGGACTTGCCCAAGGTCATCCAGCCAGGTGCAAGTGGAGGAGTGGGGAATCAAACCTGGTCCTCCCAGATTAGAGTCCACGCACTTAACCACTACACCAAACTGGCTCTCTACATTGGGTCTCCCAGCTGCCTGTTGCCCAAGAATAGACCATAATTCCAGGTTGTGTGTGTGAGACGGTGTGTGGAAATAAAACTCTGTTCTGTGGCAACTCTGCTCCAGGGCCCCATTGTGACCTCCACGGGTCTAGGCATTTTTGCCTTTCTGAGCCCCTCCCACCATAATAATATCAGTATTAATTATATATAACTTTATTAATTATATATAACTTTAAATACTTCAACATTTTATTTTTTTCTGTTTCAGGCAAAATTTAATAGGTTTTCGTATGCTCCAGAATTTCATTCTTTTCTGATGTGAGAAAAAAAAACATTCAAACGTTTATTTCAACCCTAACTGTTTTTTTCTTCTGGTTTAAAAACAAAAACATTTTTGTGGGTCCCTAAAAGTATTGTGGGCTCCAAGCACTATGCTTACTGTGCCTAATGGGTAAGTCGGCCCTCCTCTGCTCTCCCGGGCAATCCCGAGTGATTGGTGTAGTGGTTATGTGTGCAGACTCTAATCTGGGAGAACCGGGTTTGATTCCCCACTCCTCCACTTGCACCTGGCTGGATGACCTTTATTTATTTATTTATTTCAGCTTACTACCCCGCTCTAACCCCTAAGGGGTCTCTGAGCGGCTACAGTTACTCATTTATCCCTAACCTATGGCCACAATTATTGGGGGTGGGGACAATCCCTACCGGCACCCAGTGGAGGGGTTTTTCTCCTAGTTC